CGAGTGATGGCATTCGGGGGGGGGGGGAAAACCTGTTCTTGTGTCTACTTGTTCTGGCGTGCAGTGCTCTAAAGCGTCGTTTTGAGAGTAGGAGTTGAGGAAGGGGAATTGGGAGGGAAGGGGTGACCCCAGGGAGGAACAGGGGGGGCTCGGGGACCTCTGGCCACTCACCAATCCTTCACTACGATTTTGGGCTGGGTGGTGTCCATCAACTCCTCCCAGTAGCCTTCAGCTTGCAGGTCGATGATTTGGGATTTGCTGCACCAGCTAAGGAAGCAAAAGAGTCACATGGAAAAGGATCAAACCTGTTGCTTTCAGGTCTGGCATCCCTTTTCTTTTTTTCTTTTTTTGACCACAAGGACTAGAAACCTGATTTTTTTTTTTAAAAAAAAGGAAAGCAGACTGCTTTGGTTTCCCCTTGGGTTCCCTGAGCTCTGGGTACATTGCTGTGGACATCGTCCAGAGATGCCCAGAAAAGGGCGAAATGGACTTACTCAAAAGAGGACACGAAATAGGTGCGGACTTCCTCCTTGGGGAAATCTTTTCCAAAATCGCCCGGCAGCTCTTCCACTTTCCAGCCATCACCGCCGTTTTGTACGTCCTCCCAATGCTGGAGACCCTCTGAAACCGAGCAGGAGAGCCTCAGAGGATGCTCACTCTGCCCCAAATCCCATCCCGCAAACAGAGTGGGGCAACGGATTTCCCTCCGCTTGGAGGGAAAGGACCCTCCTGATGCCCTTTTGAGGGTCTCCCCTCGGGGACCCAGAGTGCCTGGCTCAGGAAAAAGGGCCAAGCGGGGAGGGGGCTGTCCAGATCTGGCTCAGGAGCTGCCCCCCACCCCAGCTCCCATGGCTAGGGCTGGTACCTGTTTACCTTCCCCATTGGGGTTCTTGACCAAATTCCTCTTCTTCTTATGGAGAAAGTAGAAAGTTTGCCAGCTCTCTGTGGCATCCACGCCCGCCTCCTTCCCCGCAAAGCCCTCCGCCTGGCATTTCAGCAGCCAGAGAGCCCCTCCATCCACCAGCGCCTTCCACTGGGAGCAAACCAGGCGGCACACCAGCACGAGGTCGAGGGCGGGCAGGCCGGCCAGGATCCGCACCAGCAGGGGCTCTGGAAGGGCATCCTTGAAGGGGGGGGCAAAAGGAGGGAGTTGGCCCACATCTAGTAGCAATCATGTGCCTTTGTTCCTCAGTTTTTGGCTAAATTGAGGTTGGCATCAATGCTCATTTCAGATCCTGCGGATTCCCCCCCTCCCCGTTGCCACTCTCAGAAATCAATCAAGAGAGAATAGAATCTGCCTTCCTTCGGAGGCAACTTTCCGGCCGATCGAAGTTGCTGATGGGGGATTTTGTTCGGAGACGGGAGATCAAGGGATGGGAGATCCACTTTGCCAGGGCTGCCAAGGGGATGAGTCAGTCTTTCTTGCCGGATGCTCCTCTCCCAAAACCTGCATCTTTCCCTCTGCATCTATCCTGGTCCTTCTTTGCTCCCGAGCCTGGAAAATCCCTTCCCAAATTCCCCCTTGCAGAGTTCCTGTCCCTGGGGTGGGGTGGGGGGGCTATCCTAAAGCCCCCCCACCCCCACCCCCATAGCAAGAAGGATCAAGAAGTTGTGTCCCTTTTGAGAGGGGGTCTCCGACCCACACGCCTTCTTCTTCTCTGACCCAATCCCTGCCGAAGAGACCTGCAGCTCTGCAAAGTTTGTGCACTTGGGGGTGGGACGCTAAATCCCACCCACCCCTGTGGAAGAATTAAGGGCTTCTAGAGTTTTGGGGGGGTTGAAAGGGGAGAAGGAGAGAGGGAGTTTCCAAGCACTTACCATTGGGGAGGGCGATGCCAGGAGCTGCAAACGGGCAGGCGGGTGAGGGTGGCGAGTGAGACAGCAGCCCGGCAGTTTCTGGGGGGAGCCGGGCGAGAGACTCCGCCTCCCTTCTGGGGCTGGGCTGGGCTGCTTGTCGCAGGCAAGTAACTCCAACGGGACGCCGGCCAGGCAGAGGGGAGGGGGGAGGGGGTCAGGGCACACACACCCCCACCTATGCCAGTGTAACCCCCATTGGCAAGGGTTGGCCAGGAGGAAAGTGGGGGAGAATACGGAGGGGTTTCCCACCACCACTCTTTACTGGGGATGGGCCTGAGTTGGAAGACCCCCCATCTCTTGGCATTAGGATCATGATCCCAGATAAAGTCACAGTCCTGGGATCTCCTCGTGGCCTCCCATCCATGCCCTTCCAACCAGGTCGGGCCGCCGTTCGCTTTCCAGAGCAGCCAAGGCGAGTAGGGACCGATGAAGGACTCCGATGGGAGACCCCCCCTCCCCAAATCAATTACGCCAGGCAAAAGAAGAGGCGCTCTGCACACGCTCAGAAGCGCTCTTTCAGCGGCGCTGTTGGATGGAGCCGGCCGGATTGCCGGTGGCCGCGGCTCTCCTTGGGGGGGGGGTGTCTGAGAGAGAAGGGCGGAGGAGACCCCTCCCAAGGGAGAGGGGAAAGGGAATCCCGCTCATTTGCATGCGATGACGTAATCCACAGGCCACGCCCTCCCCGCAAGAGATTCCCACCACCCCACCGCAGACGTCCCTCGGTCCTTTCCCGCAGCTCTTTTCACCTGGAGGTGGTGAGGGGGACTCCTCGGACCCCACCTGCCGCCTTTGCCGGCCCCTGTCGGGGGTCCGAAGGGCGGAGAGAAACCTGAGCCAGGGAACTCGGAAGTCTGGGAAGCGCCGCGCTCCTCTTCCCTTTTAGTAGCTCTGCCAGGATTCCGGCCTCCTTTCGCTTTCGCTTTCGCCTGGGCGGCGCATGCGCGGAGGATCTGCTGCGCTTCTGGCAGGTGCGGAGTCGCCAGCTGCGGGGCGGGGAGGGCGCTGCTTCCGGGGTGGGAGGGGGCGTAGAGAAGGGGGAGGGGCGAGGGAGGGGGCCCTCCTTGCCCTCCCCCCGGGTGGGTGCTGGAGTGGGGTGGGGTGTGGGGGTCCACGGAAGCCCTTCCCCTGCAGCAGAGCTCCGGGTCCCCCAGATGTCGCTGCCTGGAGCTGGAGGCTGCGTCAGGGACTGCTGGAGCCCCTGCAGGGCTGCCTCCCCCTTCTCGCTAATCGTCGGCTCAAGTAGACTACCCCTGACCGGGGAGGTTCTACCTCTGCAAACGTCAACACAGCTCCAAGGCGAGTCAGACTCTCACTCTCCCTCTCTCCCTCCCTCCCTCTCTCTCTTCCCCCCCCTCCCTCTCTCTCTTCTCCCCCTTCCCTCTTTTCTTTCTTTCCCTCTTTTCTTTCTCTCCCTCTTTTCTTTCTTCCTTCTCTCCCTTTCCCTCTCTTCCTTTCCCTCCCTCCCTTTCTCTTTTCCTCCCTCCCTCCCCCCTTTCTCTCCCTCCCTTTCTGACCCCTCTCATCTCTCTTTCTGTTCTCTCTCTTTCCCCCTATCTCTCTCTCCTGTCTCCCTCTCTTCTCTCTTTCTTTCTTTCTTCCCCTTTCTCTCCTGTCTCTCTTTCTTCCCCTTTCTCTCCTGTCTTTCTTTCCCCTCTCTCCTTTCTCTCTCTCCTCTCTCTCTTTCTTTTATCTTTCACTCTTCCTTTCTTCCTCTTTTCCCTCTCTTTTCTCTTCACAGATGGCGAGCATGGAGAACCTCCCTGAGGACGCCCTGATTGCGGTGCTGGTGCTGGTGCCCGCCCAGGACCTGGTGCGTCACTGCCGGCTGGTCTGCTCCCTCTGGCGCGGGCTGGTAGACTTGCCTTCGCTCTGGAAGCTCAAGTGCCAGCGTGAGGGCTACTGGCCGGAGCCACTGGACACTCCCATTCCGGACTGGCGCAATTTCTATTTCCTCTGCAGCCTGAAGAGGAACCTGATCAAAAACCCCTGTGCTGAAGGTGAGGAGGGGGTCAAGGGGGCTGGGCTATTTTGGGGGGTGCAGTTTTGGACCGCTGGAAGGTTATTTTCCCTGAAGCTCCTGACCAGCTCTGGTCTGATCCTAGATTAAATCAAATCAAGGCCAGGATGGAAGACCATCAGGAGATCCAAACTGAATTTTCAACATGGCTAAGCAAACGTTTAAAAAAATAGGGCATAACCACCTGGTGGTCTCCTTTCCCTACCTTGAAATGTTTCCAAAGTGCCGAGCCTCCAACCTGCAGCGCCATCCTCTTCTTTGTGTCTCCTCTCTTCCGCCACAGAAGGCTTTGAGGCCTGGAAGAAAGAATCGAACGGAGGCAACGGCTGGAAAATCGAGGACCTCCCGGGAGATCACGGAAGAAATTTCCTTCTTCCGCATGTTCAGAAATACTTTGTGACGTCTTATGAGTGAGTAGCGTGACAGCCTGGGATTATGGAGCCATTAAGAAAAGATGAGGATGGAGGCTTGTAACAACCGGTGGTTTTCTCTTCCTTGCCAGCTCATGCATGAAGGGGCAGATGATCACTTTACGGGATCACGGCTACTGGGACCGGTTGATGGATGAAGCCCGGCCTGATATTGTGGTGAGCGACTGGTGAGTGGCAGGGAAGAGAGGCAGACAGACGGACAGATGGACACGGGAAGCACAAGTGCTCAGGTGGTGTTTGGTAGCGCCGTCAAAGCAGGAGGCGCAATACAGGCAGTCCTCGCCTTAACGACCACGATGGAGCCCAAAGTTTCCATTGTTAAGTGAGACACTTAGTAAGCTTTGCCCCATTTTACGACATTTCTTGACGCCGTCATTAAGCGAATCACTGCAGTTGATAAGTTAGTCACCCGGTTGTTAAGGGAATCTGGCTTCCCTGCGGACTTTGCTTGTCAGAAGGTCGTAAAAGGAGATCACATGAATCACACACACATCCCAG